GAAATAGCAGCATGGACAAAGTGGGCATCACACCTTTCTGCTGCCTTCATACATCATCAAGATTCTCAGGACAAGCTGGCCATGCTCAGGTGCTGAGAAATTACCATCTCCTTGTCCCTCACATGTGACCCATATAATTTTTTTTTCCACAACTCTCTACTTGCTATGGACTGGGAAATATGTTTGTGATATGTGGAAAGAGCCTGCAACCCCAGAATCACAGAATGGATCAGTTTGGAAGGGAGCACAATGAGTCATGTGGTCCAACCTCTCTGCTCAAGTAGGGTCAACCTAGAACACATTCCCCAGGATTGCATCCAGATGGTTCTTGAATATCTCCAGTGAGGGAGACACCAGAACCTCTCTGGGCAGTTTGTTCCAGTGTACAGTCACATGCACAGTAAAGAAGTTCTTCCTCATATTCAGTTGGTACTTCCTGTGCATCAGTTTCTGCCCATTGCCTCTTGTCCTATTGCTTGACTTCACTGAGAAGAGCCTGGCTCCATCCTCTTGACACCCTCTCATCAGATACTTATATACATGGATGAGGTCATCTCTTCTCGAGGCTGAACAGGCCCAGATCCCTCAGCCTTTTCTTGTAAGAGAGATGCTCCAGTCTCTTAATCATCCTTGTTGCTCTCTGCTGGACCTGCTTCAGAATGTCCATGTCTCTTGTACTGAGGAGCCCAGAAATGGACACAGTACTCCAGATGCATCTCACTAGGGCTAAGTACACGGGCAGGATTACCTCCCTCAACCTGCTGGTAATGCTCTTCCTAATGCCCCCCAGGATACCTTGGCCACAAGGGCACACTGCTGGCTCATGGACAGCTTGTTGTCCACCAGGATCCCCAGGTCCTTTTCCACAGATCTGTTTTCCAGCAGGTCAGCCCCCAGCCTGTACGAGTGCACAGGATTATTCTTCCCTAGATACAGGACCCTGCATTTCCCTTGTTGAATTTTAGAGATAATTCTTCTCTGCCCATCTCCCCAGTCTGCTGAGGTCCTACTGAAGGGCAGCACAGGACTCTGAGGTATCAGCCATTTCTCCCAGTTTTGTATCATCAGTGAACTTGCTGAGGAGACCTCTGTCCCCTCAAACAAGTAGTTGATGAACAAGTTAAACAATACCTGGCCCAGTACTGAACCTAGGGGACACCACTAGTGACTGGCCTCTAACTAGACTATGTGCCACTGATTACAACCCTCTGGGATCTGCCATTCAGGCAGGTCTCAGTCCACCTTGCTGTCCACTCATCTGGTCCACATTTCCTGAGTTTGTCTCAAAACTGTGAGACGCAGAGTCGAAAGCCATACTAAAGTTAAGGCAGGCAATATCTGCTGCCCTCCTTTCATCCATCCAGGCAGTTTTTCATTGCAGAAGGCAACCAGGTGGGTGAAACATTACTTAGCTTTAGTGAATCCATGCTGACTATCCCTGATCACCTTCTTGTCTTCCATGTGGGTAGAGTTGGTCTCCAGAATGAGGCACTCCATCACCTTTCCAGGGACTGAGGTGAGGCTGGCTGCCCAGCAGTATCCTGGGCCCTCCTTCTTGCCCTGTTTGAAGACCAGGGTGACATTTGCTTTCTTCCAGTCCTCAGGCATCTCTCCTGATCACCACAACCTTTCAAAGGTGATCATGATCAGCCTGACTATGATGTCCATCAGCTCTCTCAGCACTTGTGGATGTGAAGTTTGTTTAGGTGATCTCTAACCCAATCCTCCTTGACCAAGGGAAGGTCTTCTTGCAACATTCATTTACCCTGGTCTCCTGGATCAGAGATCACTGTAGGCTGGTCTTATCAGTGAAGACTGATGTAAAGAAGGCATTTAATAACTCTGCCTTCTCTGCATTGTCTTTTATCTGTGTCCCCTCTCCAGGGACTAATGGGCCCACATTGTCTTTTGTTTTCCACTAGTTATTGATGTTATCCTTGACATCATTGGCCAGATTTAATTCTAGATGGGCCTTGGCCTTTCTAGTCTCATTTCTGCTTAGTCTGACCACTTCTCTATATTCACTCCAATTGGCCTGACCCAACTTCCATCTCCCATGTATTTCCTGCTTTTACTTGAGTAATGGTGATCTTAGACAACTTGGCTTCCCATTGAGTCGTTACCATATTTGAAGTCTCTCAGTGAGTGTGATGACCATCAACTGAGCTAGCTGCTTGTTCCGCAGCACCTCTGCACCCTGCCTGCATGGACCACCATCCAAACTGCTGCTCCAAGTGCCATACTGGTCCCTGTTTGCCTACCCTGGTCCCTCACGCTCCCTACACTGGTTTAAAACTCCTGTGGTGCTCCTGACTTCCTCCCATCCTCCTCGCCTGATCGGCTGGTGAGAAGTTCCAGGTCCTGCTGCAGCTCTGGGCTATTGCTCTGTCTCTGAGCTTGGGAACCCTGCCTGTATAGCCTGATCCAACACTCAGCCCCAGACTTAGCTCAGTTGCTGCTGCTGACTCTGCCTTGCCAACTGTGTCTTACAATCTCCTGTGTTGTAAGATACTGTATGGGAGAAACCTGGGTAGATTCAGTGCAAAAGAAAGAAATGCTTAAAAGGCCCAAGAAAGAAAGCTATAGGGCAGTGCCAAATTTGGCTGCTGTACCTGTTTACCCCTTGAAGGATGAATGACCCATCCCTACAGCACCCAAAATGACATAGAGTTTTAATCCTTGTTTATGCACTGGCCTCAAGCAAGCTCCTCTCTACAGTGTTTTCAGTGTTTAGGCTGTGTGGCTGAATGTTTCCTGATTCTTCTCTCCTGCTCCTTACTCTGTCATCCCTCCGGGCTATTTCCCATGCTTTTCCTTGCTCTCTGCCAAGCAGTGGGAAAGGAGAAGCCCTGTCCAACTGCCTGTGATTATCAGGACTGTTATCTGTGAGCACACAAAGTCTCTGTTTGCTAGGGAAAAACCTGAGGTCCCTGGGGTTTATGGAGCAGAAAAACATGTGCTGCTGCTTTCATGGCTCACTTGCTAAGGAGTCCTAAACTTTGGTGTTCTACTGATGCAAGTTTGCTGTTTCCCTCCTGTATCCATTTAACTTTGCCTGGCAGAAATTGCTGATGATCTCTGAATGTTAAGAAAACTGTGCTTCAAATCTAGATGAAAGTACTGTGTAGCCTCTTGCTAAGTCCTGCCAAGGACTAAACTGTTTCAAATCCTAACCTCCTGCCTTCTGGCTTCTGCATCTGCCATTTATTTTGGTGTTGTTTGTCTCTTAGGTGGTTGTTGGCTCCAGTTGCTGGGATATTATCTTTCTTAGGATCAGAGGCTTGTGAATTCAAGTGGGCCAGTGTTTGACGCAGTCTGAGGCACTACAGATTCACCCAGACCTCAGGAGTGATGCTATGGCTTCTGAATGCCCTGTCCTAGCTGTAACAGCAGACTGGTAATTGGTGATCAAGGATGAAACCATGGGATGGAGGGTGATGGAGAACTTGAAGGGTAGCAGGTGACTGTGGACTACATACAAGGATGTTCTGGGGAGGAGAAACCATGAACTACAAGGAAAGACTAGAAAAGCTGGGATTGTTCATGCTAGAGGCATGGCATATGGCCACCTTCTGGTAAGGACTCTGAAGGTTCAAATATATTCAGAAGATGTGGCTGTCGTAACTTGGTAAGTACTGGCCTTATGCCAGCTGTACTTTAGACCAGCTGATGAAAACAGCCAGATCAGCTGTCCTCTGCACTGCTCACCAGTGGCATAATCCGCACATGGCCCCAGCTGTGCTCTGGGAATTCAAGAGCAGGATCACCATCTTGCCACATGAGATTGGCATCAATTTTTTACTAAGAGGTGACCTGCTGGTGCCAGGATTGGGTACTGCTGAACTTCTAGGGATGGCTTGACCCCACTATATCCAAGAGTGTGTGGTTACCTATGCCTGTCCTGGATGAGCAAACACATCTGTCTCAGGAAAGCATTCAGGACATGGCACACTTAGTGCTGCTAAATTAGTAGTGGTCCAAACTGAATGCCCTTTTTATTTCATTTCCATCCTCTTTCCTTGCACTCCAGCTGCCAATAGGCTGGGGCATTTGGAATTGGGATTAGGGAAGTGTCATTTCCATTTTAACTTGCTTCTGATGTCTCTGATTTATTTGTGCTTTCTGAAAACTGGTCAATCATTTTGATGTGTCAGTTTGCAAGGATTTGTCCACTGATTTCTGCAAAGACACACTGGGATCTGAGATATTTGCAAACACTTAATGTGTGCATTTCATCCCTGTATATAGTGCAGTAAACTGATCATTCTTCTGAAATGACTGTTATCACACCAGAAAAATCAGGGAAATTGGGAGTCCTAGACTGGTACTTTGCAGCAGGTGTGACTGGATTTCAACATGGTTGGTATAGACTCAAGGATGTGATGGCACTTTCTAAAGCAACAGAAAAACCTCTCTAACTCTGTACTCTAAAGAAGAACTGAATAATGGTGCTTCTTTGCATGGCCACACAAGACCTTTTTTTTTTTTCCTAAATCTTTCCTTACTGTCTTGATAGTGCCCTGCTGGGTTTTGCCAGGATAAGAGAGCTGTGTTTGTGAGAGTTTTTAGTGACTTTTCCACATGAGCTAGTTAAACTGATAGCAGGTTTCAAACAGGTCACAGTGATGCTGAATAATTCCCTTGGGTAAGCCTAGGCTCAGGTTCATCTGACATAATTTGAGAATCTGCATGGAGTGCCTAATTAATTCATTTCCCAGAGCTCTCTGTATAGTCAAAAGGAGGCAGAGGTTTCCTCAGAGGTGATTCAGAGCACCTAAGTTACTACCAGGAGCACCACTGACTACTGAGGGGACTTGCAATGACCACATTTCTGTGTTAGACATCTCATTTTGGTGTATAAAATTAGGCAAGGTGTCTTCTGCTGATCTCAGCATCCTCTTGGGAAAGCTTCCTATCCCTTTTCTGCTATGGGAAGTTTATCCAATAGGAAAGGGGGGGCAGGGGCTACAGTCTCCCCATGAAACTTGTGATCTTGTTTCAGGAGGAAGATGAGATAAAGCCACTCAGATGGAGGCCAGTTCCACCAGCTTCAAGAGCCTCAAGTTTGGGAAGCTGAAGGTGGTACGTCGCCACTTGCTACAGAGGTATGAGCACCAGCCCTTCATCTCCTGCCTGGCTGGTTTCTACAGCTGCCGGTGGAAGCGGTACCAGCGCAGAAGGACTGAGCCTGGGAAATGCTGCTGCAAGATGGTAAATTAGCTCAAAATCAGCACACTGGTTTCTGCATAGGGACAGGGAAGTCCAAGCAGACACAGGGTTGATGTCATGGAATCCCAGCCCAACATCATTTGGAGCCCACTGAGATCTTCTGAGCTGTTAGATTTTGCTCTAACTGCCTGATGAATTGTTGTGTTTCTGTGGCAAACTCAGTGTGTTTGTGCCATTACACAGCTAAGAAATATGTGGTGGCAGGGAAGGACTTTGCACCAAACCCTCCTAGCCATCTCAAAGCCATAGAATCAAATTAAAGAAGTAACATTTGGGGTGGGTATGCAGTAAGGTTTGCAAAGAGGGCTGCTACACAGTGCAATTTCCTCCTGTGTGAGGATAGTTAAAATCCTGTTCATTTGGAAAGTCATGACTTCTCTTTTCCCTGAAAATAAATAATGCAGAATACTCTTTTGCAGACATTCCCCTAGTCACAAAACACAGGGAAGGAATTTTTTTGCAGACATTCCCCTAGTCACAAAAGACAGGGAAGGAATTCCTCTCCATATTTACTTCAGTTAGAATTCCCCCACCAAGCCACATGTTTTAGGGACAGCCTCAAAGTACCTGACATTTGCTCTGATTGCTTAGGGGTAGCCAAGGCTCTGACCACTTGTCCTTCCTCTCCCTCTCCAGCGGGAATGCATGTTTTTCCCATTGCTCGTTGGAGCTTTCTGCTTTTCTCTGGTCTTTCTGTACATGTGGGGCGAAGCAAAAAATGACTACAACAACTTTGACTGGTAAGTACCATCTTTTTCTCTTCTCCTGTCCCTTGGGCCTGTCACTGGGGTGTCTGGGAAGGGATGAGCACCTCCCCCAGCAGCTGTGTTGCAAATGGGCACTTTAGCCATGAAGCAAAGATTTGGCTCCTTAAACTCTTGGTTACAGCATCTGAGTTGAATGTTTGTTGACTTCAGAAGTAATGAGGCTTTGCCCTCAGATTGGCTACAGTTTTATGTTGTGAGTGTGAATTTGGAAGAAAGGGGAGAATCATCATCCCAAAAATTGTGAGTGAAATGGACTAAAAAGCTCTTTTTAGTCCTTCTGAGTCTTTCTTTTTTTCCCCCGTTCCACCTGAAGAAATGTGGTGGCTGGAATCAGAGGCATTGCATCAGCTACCTCACTGAAAGAGAATTCTATGTTCTCGGACTTAAAAGTGAAAAATAATCATCAGGGATTCGTGTGTGTTCTTTCCTCCTGCAGCACATAGGCAACAGTTATGCAAATCTGGCCCCTAAAATTAAATTAAAGCTGCTCAAATATTATGGGAAGGAAAGGTGTAATAATGTCTATTGGTCTGGAGGTTAATGCAATCAGGGATCTTGGGAAGGAGGCTCTTAATCACTTTTGCATGTTACAGGGTGAGTTATTCCTCACTCACGCTTTGTTTTATTGCTTTGAAAATTTCAGAATTTCAAGGAACAGGCTGTTGGTCTCCTCCAGTCCATGTACTAACCACAAACATTATTACCATATTTTATTGCTTTTTAGGTATAACTATGGGAACCTGGGCTTCTGGTTTCTCTGGTCTCTTGTTCTCCTGATTGTGGCCGCAATCTTGTTCACATACATCTCACTGTTACTGGTAAGTAATGCTCCTTGTAAGCTGACCATGATCTAAAAAGTAAACATAGGGATGGCTTTAGCACCTCAGACTAGGGCTCAGTCTAGCCCTCCATATGATCCTTAGACAGTGGATACCTGGGGAAGATTTGGAACACAGTGAGTGTTTTTACCGTGTTTTCTCTCCATGTCCACCAGTTTCAGCTCAGGGGTGTCTGAGCCAGATGTTGTTTCTGTGATTTCTCTTGATGATTTCCCTTCAATAAATGTGTCCAATCTCTTCTTGAACCCAAGGAAAACTGAGCCAGCAGTGGCTGAATTTAGATTTAGGAAAAGCTAAAAACTTGCTTTGGAAGTATGGGGTTTTGAGTCACGTGGTGGTGGTGCTGCATCTTCACTGCCAAGTTATTCATCTAATCCCATATAGAAAGGGTCATTAGAGGAAGGGGAGCATTGTTACTGAAGATGCCTTGACTCACCCTGCTCTGCTGAAGGGTTTTCTCCAGGTAGAAATTACAGATATGGTCTCAAAATGCTGCTGAAGTTTATACCCAAAGAGGTTCCTGAAATCTTCGTTTTTCCAAATCCTGCAAAATTTTCTCTAGAGTCTGCTTTGGTTACTAGAAACATACCAAAGCCAAACTTTTCCTAAAATTTGTACCTACTCATCCATTTCCACTGTCCTTTCCCTCATAAGGAAACTCCCAAATAAAGACAAGACCTGCATTTCCATCTTCTGCATCCAGAGCTATAGGCTAAGAAATAACTCTAACTCCAGGCACTGGAGCCCACATTCAGTCTCATGCCTGATCCAACTTTCAGCCGAGTGCTGAGGGTGCTGTTATGGCTTTGTCTCACCTCTGACCAAAAAAAC